GATTTTTTTTTTTTTTTTTTTTGAAAAGTACATAAAAAACGAATAATTAGAAAAAAAAGTTGAATATCACAATTTTCTAAAAAATTTATAAATTTTTTTTTAAAATTTGTAAAATTTGTTAAAATTGTGATAATCGACTTTTTTTTTTTTAAATTGTTTCATTGTTTATGTATTTAAAAAAATCATCCTAAGTTTTTTTTTTTTTTTATGAAAATGTAAAAATTAAAAAAAACAATGATCCGAATTTCATGAAATTTATTTTTACATTTGAAACGCGGATTGCAAATTATATGAAAATTGTTACATATAAAATTAATTACCCGAAATATCTCATAGAATTTTTGAGATAATTTAGGATGAGCATCCAATTAAATATTGATGCATGAATAAAATATTTAATGAACACTAAAAAATCTTATCAACAAAAAAAAATTTATGAAATTCCACTAACTGTTTCTATGCTACATTTTTACAAGAAAATTATAATTATTTAATATCAAATATATCGTAAAGCTATACGTATTTCAAAATCTTTATTGTTGCATAATTCATAATCAATCGAAAAAAATTTTTTACGTATTTCATAGAAATTTAATAAGTTTTCACGTTTAAAATTTATTTACACTGATAAAAAAGTTAACTTGGTTCAAGAGTAAAACTTTAAACTAAGAGCATCAATTTGAAGAGTTTGATAATCTTGAATTAAGTAGCAAAAATTTCAAATGATATTCTTAATTTAAAAATTTTTCTCTTAAATGAAGTTAATTTTTTTGTTAATAAATTTTCGAACCAAATGGATTTTGAAACTCAACTTGACAAGCCAATTAAAAATCGCAAAATCTTTAAAAAATTACATCTTGAAAATAAACACAATTATTAAATTTCTATTTAATCTACCACACATAAAAAAAAATGCCATTCGGCCTCACTCGAAATGGAAGGTAGATTTCATGTGATATGAGATTTTCTTTATTTATGTTATTTAATTTGTTTGATAACATGTTTAAGTAATTTTTTAATTTTCAATCCGCTATAACTTTTAAACGATTTAACCGATTATCACGTAGTTGACAACAGTCGATGCAGTTTTTTGAATTCTATGATAAATTTCAAACCGTGAATAAATCAGATAAAAAATTTCGGAATTTGTTTGAAAAAAACGCTTTTTTCGATTTTTTTCGTCAACGATATCTCACAAACGAATCAAGCGATTTTGACCGGTCCAGCGGCGATCGACGTAGTTTTTTTATGTTAAGAGCTGATTAGGTTTTTGTATCGGTCGGTAAAGCTTTTCAAAAGTCATTCTAAAAAAACCCCATTTGAAAAAAAATTTTCATTATTTAAAAATTTTTGAATAGCCTATAAAATTAATAAAAATCTTTCTAAAGTATAAGTGTTATAGGTCAAATTGAAGGAAATATCATCAGCTTCACCATGAAGTTTTCAGAAATGAGCTCTTTTTTGTCAGTCAAAAGTTATTCACGGTTAAAGTTACAAAACTTGAAATTTACAAAATTTTGAAAATTTTAAATGGCCGCTATTTCTAAACTAATTGACCGATTTTGCTCATCTTCAAACTCGACCTCGGTAATTACCCAAAGAATATGTGTACCAAGTTTCATCAAGATCGGTTGAAAACTTTTTGAGATATCCTGATGACAAGGCTGGTTATATTACATATATATACATACATATATAAATTTTTTAACCAATGGTATTTTTGGAACCTACTCGACTAATTATAACATATAATAGCAAAATCAGGTGAAAATTCCACCATTAGGACTAATGCAATAGTTAGATTTATAACAAAATCTACCTAAAAATGTTCTTGAATCAAGTATATAATTTTGAAGAACTTAATCTTCTTGATTTGAGTAGAAAAATTCTTAAACTAATAAATTTTTCTTAATTTAAGGAAATTTTACTTGATTCAAGAATTTTTCTTTCAAATCAAGTTAAATTTTTTTTTTTTTTTTTTTTTTTCAGTGCAAGAATTACCAATTTGTATAGTGTCAAAAATAATTAAATTTCCACCCCAAATAAGCAATGAAAAAATTCTTCCATCACCTCTCAATTAATATCAATAAAAATGAAACAATTAAAATAACATAACAATAAAAATGACATAATTAAAATAAAAAATCAATTAAACATACAAGTACAAAACAATATAAAGGTAAAATTGTCCAAGTAAATGTATTGATCCCCGAGGCTGACCGGCGGTCAATGAGATACGGTCTCTATTTAGTTGGACTTGCGGTTGTCCTGCGCTCTACATCAGGTGTATATGTATACCTGTATGTACACAACTACAAAACGCTTAATATGTATTATTGTACTCTATAAACCTCTTTGACCGGAAGTTAAGACCAAGACCAGCCGGCCACCCCTACTGCTAAGGATTCTTTTGATTCTCCCCTTTCACGGTGATTCATGTCCAGCCCTTGAACAATTTTTATGCGTGATTTAAGTACCAGGGTCTCTATAAACGCACTAATTAAAAAATTTTCTCAATTTTTTAGAATCAAAATTGCCAATTAACTCTTTTGATTTTTGCTACAACTAATATTTAATTTTTCCAATCAATTTTATTTACAATTATAATTATAACCGCTTATTAGTTTCCGAATTAGCGAAACTCTTTCTTATAAATCAACATGATTTATTGTCTGTACAAATGATAAAAAATAAATCTGCAAGTAGAATGAGTACCGCGCAAGTCAGACACTCCCCACTTAACTATTAAAACTCCCCCTTTTACGCTAAGCGTTAAATTAAACATAATCATAATGACATACTCCCACTCTTAAACATTCACCCCACTGTCGTTGACTTCTCGTAGCCACGTGCTGCAGGTAAACATATCATCATCACTATCACCTTTCAACAACAGTACATTAAATTATCTTCAATATATAATGTGTAATATAACGCATGATATTTTTCCCCCTTTTTAATATTACATAAAAAGATTCGTTACACTATCTATTATTTATTTCAAGAATAAAGCAAAGCAAACAATAACTTTTTAATGTCACTTTAAAATATCGATAAAAGGGCTGAAGCTAAATTGAAGGTTTAATAGGCCAGTAAACCAGTTAATTCGATATGATAACGCCGAACCCATTTAAATGGATTATTGAGAACTGACCCTGATCAAAACCTTTTTTATTCCGGTATACATTTTTTTAGTTACATTCTTTGGGTGCATTCTTTATTATTGACTTTTAGTCACACCCTGGCCAACAAATTGCCAGATTGGGTGTAGGCTTACGATCAATTACGATCAAACTCATTATACTAAATCATAAAAGCTTGCAAATCTTCATTACAAATCATTCTTCATTAGGGTTTAGTTAATTATGTTTTATGTCTGCTATTACTGAACATTAGTTTTTTTTTTTGTTCCTTTTAATTTTTAGATGTTAGTAGCCTTATAATTTTTTTAAATTTTAACATTAAAAATGTATGTTTCACTTGAAAAAAATTAGTCCCTTTAATTTTAATAATCTAAGCACAGTTTTTGTAAATCAAAAGTTTTTTTAATAAGAAAAAAATTTTTGTTTGCATTATTTATTTTATGCAAAAATTGAATTCAACATAAGTATATTCTTCTTTAATTAAAAAATTCTTTTAAATTTATTAATCTGTTCAAAATTTTTAAATAACTGTTTTAAAGAATCTTTTTGACCAAAATTTTTTCTTACCATAAATTATTGAAATTAATAAGAAATATTTTTTTAAGTAAAAAAAAATCAAATTCGGAAATAAAATACTCGTGATTAATATGATACTAAAGTTAGCCGACGTTTTTAATTTTTTGATTTTTTTTTAATAATTAAATTAGAACGAAAAAATATTTTTTAAAAATTGCACTTACAGTTTTTACAAGTTTTTAACAAACGACAATTTTTTTTTTCTTTTTTTTTTTTTTACCAAAATTTTTTCTTACCATAAATTATTGAAATTAATAAGAAATATTTTTTTAAGTAAAAAAAAATCAAATTCGGAAATAAAATACTCGTGATTAATATGATACTAAAGTTAGCCGACGTTTTTAATTTTTTGATTTTTTTTTAATAATTAAATTAGAACGAAAAAATATTTTTTAAAAATTGCACTTACAGTTTTTCAAGTTTTTAACAAACGACAATTTTTTTTTCTTTTTTTTTTTTTTTTTTAGTCATTTTTTCAATAAAAAAAATTCTTTTTAATTTTTAAATGTCGGCTAACTTAATTTTCATGTGATTAATTTAAAAATTTTTTAAATTAAAATTTTTCGACTTGATGTTTATGAGTATTTATTTTATTTCCTCAAAATTGAAAAATTTATAATTGCTAGTACTTTAGACTCAAATTTTTTAACAAATATAAAATTTAATATTTTAAAAATATTCCCTAGATAAATACCATTAGTATTTGTTTGAGAAAAAAATAATAACGTTTAATTTTATGTAAATTAAACTTCTTACTAAAAACATACTATGAATAAAGATGATAAAAATATAATTACTTATGATAATTATACCAAGTAAATTAAAACAGCATATCTTCTTATTAAATAAATAATCGGCAAAAAAAATGAAGTATAAATTAGCCTAAGATTGTCCAGAGAATAATAATTCCTTCTCTTTTTAATTCTCTCTTCTTAGCAAACATACAAAGTTGCGTGTGACCTGTTTTACGTTAAGTTGATCTGGGCCAGATCAACACTACACTCACACTTGCCACTGCTTTTTTATAAAGGTACTTTCCATTAAAGAGGTTATTATACGCAGCATATCTTATAAATTCCCAACTATTTTTTACATTTAAATTTCTTTGTCTGCGTGCATAATGACAAGTACCTGAGGGTGAGGATTTACAAATCTAAATTTTAACCCAGTAGATGAAAGAGCGTGTGAGTCTCATGAATATTAAGACTTTGATTAGCAGAAAAATATTAGGTTACTTATTTTATTTTGCTGTAACTGTTTCAACCTATCGCTTGAATGTTAAATAATCTTTAATTATTAATAAAACAGTTTTAAGAAGATAATTTTACCTTGAATGTTTTGTAGCTGGATACAACATATGAAGCACCATCTTCAAGCTCGTCGAGATTGAGTTTTCTGTCACCGTCCATTGAAAATATGTGCCGCGCACCTCTTGGAAGGTCCAGACGCAAGGATAGTCGATCGAGAAGTGCTTCCAATGATCCAATGTCTCGTCCAGGTTTAAATCTAAATTTAAAATCATTAAATTAGTGTCAAGTGTAATTTTTGTAAACATAACCTAACATTAACTATTTTTTTTTTTTTTTTCCATTAAAAGTAACTTCTAAATATTTAATTAAACAAAAAGAAAGACTTTTAAATAATTTATAAAATTACTTAAAATTTTTATTTGCATTTTTAATTATTTTTTATTTATAGGTCGCAGCGAAAATTGGAATGAGTTTGATTATAGCATGAGAAAATTTTTTAATTTTTTACACAACAATTAAATCTTCAAGTGTTAGGTAAAGTAAACATAACCTAAAACATAATCTTACTATTTTTGTAATAAAAAGTAACTTTTAAATAAATTAAAAAATGATTTTTTAATGAAAATTAATTTAGCAGACATTTGATAATTTTAAGAATTTTTTTAACAAGTAAATTATGGTAAAAAATAAATAGAAAAAAAAAAATTGACATGTAGAAATTTAAAAAAATAAAAAATGCAATTTTTTATAAATAATTTTTCGGAAGAAATTTATTTGTTAAAAAAAATTAAAAAATAATCAAGTAACTGCTAACTTTAATGTCATGATTTTTTAAATCTTGATTAGCATTTTTAATTATTTTTTTTAATCTCATGTTTGTTTTAGATAGCAAGATTTAAACGACTAAATATAAATCAACAGAAGAAAATTAAAAAAAAATTATTCAACAATTGAATCAACAAAAAATTGTAAGTTTTAATATTTACATTTTCTCTTAAATTTATGTAAATTATATTTATTAATTAAAAAATTCTAAAAATTGACAAACAATCGGCTAAATTATATGCTGCTAGATTCACAATGACAAATCAAAAGAAGAAATAGTCTACAATGCAAACCTAACCCACTAAATATTAAAATAACGAAGAAACTTACCTAAATTCGACTCCAGGGAAGTAAGGATCTCCATTTTTATAAAAAGTGACGCGTCTAGCCCTCCAGTATCCAAGATTATTGTACCTGGTAGTAGTAGTGACAGTAGTATTAGCAATCGAGTCGTGTCGGCTCTTTGGCCTGGGCTCCGGTTGCTCAGGAGGCGGCATGCGGGGACTGGAGGGTCTACTCTGCCTCCAGTAGCCGCCCATGCCACCTCCGGTGGCGACGTTTCCACCACTAAATTCCCCAGTTTCTGGTGGCGGCATCCCTACCCCAATGGGCATCGGAATTGTAGAGGAGCCACGCGCCGTCTCGCGTCCCGCCAATTCTTGCCCCATTTCATTAGCAGACATCCTTGTGCCGTTACCAATACTAACGCCGTCACGTCGTATCTCTCTCACTACCTCGTCTTCCTCGTCCTCGTCCTCCTCAATCCGATCCTCTTCGCGCTCGTCCTCGTCCTCGTCGTCCTCTTCTTCCTCCTCCTCCTCCTCGTCAGAGTCGTCGTCAATAACGTGTTTCTCCACGACGGCGTTCTCCGACGAGCTACCGACGGTCTTTGCTGCCGATCCAATCCCTCGAGCTTGTGTCTTCGAAGTATCGTCGCGGTGTGGCGCCTCCTGTATAATTTTCTCAGAAGTATTTGAACTTGCGGTTGTTCCTGCGCCTACTCCTGGTGATGAACTTGGTACTCCTGTTCCTGTTGTACCGGCACCTGAAGCGCTACCATTCATACCGCCATTTGTCATCGATATTCCATTCAATTCTTCATATTGATTTATACGAGAGTTTGCTCGGGATGATTGTTGATGAGTCATTGCGATCATTGCACTTTTTTGGAGGTTATCTTTTGCTAAAGATAAGATCAGCTGCTTGTTTTTCTTCTCTAAAAACTTTTCTTCTTTTTATTGTCTTTAATTATCAATCTATCATTTAGATAAAATTATTTTCAAAGTTGTGCAGAAAAAATGTTCCATATGATTTGATGTTTTGATATTTCTTCTTTGTTTCACTGTAAATTCCAATGATAGAATAATTAAAAACATAGAATTTATATTCATCTTACTTTTTTTATTTGAAAACTTTTTAAGATTTTAAGAAATAAATAATACATTTATTCATTTGCAAAATATCAAATAAAAGTAATTATAGGGGCCATTCATTAATTACGTAAGGGTATTGAGGGGGAGGGGAGGTTAAGAAAATCTCTACAAGTTCTTACGTAAGGACTCAAAATTCAAAATTAAAAATCTTTCCATTTTGGATTCCAAATTGTTTTCTTAATTTTAAATTGTACAGTCGAATTTTTATTTTATTTAAATAATTTTTGTTGCTTATTGACAAAAATAAAAAATAACTTATTAAAATTTTATATGTTTTTATTGTTATCCATGTCTGGTTATATAGAAAAAATTATAGAACATTTTTCCGTGTATTATCATATTTTTATTATTTAAAAAATAAAAAAATATTTCCATCTACCGTTACATCTGATGAGCTACCAATTGTCTCTGATTGGATGACATGGATTAAAAGTCCGTTTAGTCCGGATGAAGATTAATAATTTTAATTGATCTAGCTTTAACTATTTAATTTATGTTTTTGAGACTAATTTAAAACTAGTCAAATATTATTTTATGAACAATGTTATGAGTTTGTAGTTTTAATGATTTATGTCTGCTAGTATTATTTAAATTATTCCTTGTTAAAAAATAAAAATTATGGATCCGCGTTGAACTGTAAGTTTTAGTGAAACTGATTCTTTTCGAACATAAAAGTTTATTATTTAGAAGGTCAAGATAGAATCTTACGTAAGAAAGGGGAAGGGGGCTTCGAGAAATCTTACGTATACTTACATGGGGGTAGGGGGGTCAAAATTGACCAAAATTGTCCTTACGTAATTAATGAATGGCCCCTTATGTAGAAGTATAATCTCATATTTTTTTTGCTAATAAGTAAAAGGCTTAAACTTACACTGAGAAAAAAAAAATACTTTTATTAAGAAAATTTTTTTGATACAAGAATTCATGTTCTTGAAAATTTTCAAGAATATATATATTCTTAGCTCAAGAACTTGTTAAATTGATTGGAATAATTTTTACTTAATTTAAATAAAGATATTTCTCTTGTTTATCTATTATCCAAAGATAAATATTGATGCTCTTCTCTTCAGAAATTAATAATTAATAATAATAGAATATTTGATCGTCATCGAATTTCTTGAACCAAGAAATTGTTAATTGAGTAAAAGTATTTTTTTTTCTCAGTATAGAAAACAAAATTAATTAACGTTTCAAGTTTATCAGTTTTAGATTTCAAGCCCAAAATTATTTAGCTTTGGTTTTTGACTCATCAGCAAAATTTTTAAAAGTTTTCAACTTCAATAAATTTTTGTTAGTGGTCCAAATCTGTTCTACTTAGACCTAATATTCTTCCCGAAATAAAATCTCTAGAAAATTTTGAATCTCAACTTAATCATACTTTTTTCTACACTGAGAAAAAAATTTCATTTGAAAAAATAGGCATTGTTCTGACAAGAAGTTAAAAATTTTCAACAATTTTATTTCTTAGCTGGAGAAATAAAAATTTTTCGCACGCTAATTTTGTTGTTGAAAAATATTTTTTTTTTATATGGAAAAAAAATAAATAGATAACTTGTTAACTTTCACCCAAAATTGTTTTTTCCCAAATCTAGAAAACTTTTTTTCAACAAAAAATTTACTGTGTGAAAAATTTTGATTTCTTCAGCTAATAAAATTATTGAAAATTTTCAACAAATTAATTTCTTATTTCAACATTGCTCATTTTTTTTAAAAGAAATTTCTTCTCTCAGGGTAACGTATCAAATAATCGCTAAAAAATTAATTTGAATAACTAGAAATGTTATTCTTTACATATACACTATTAAGTGAATACATTAAAAAAATGTTATTCTCAGCTAGCCTCCTCAATTAGTGTTTTGATAAGATTAAAAAAATTCATTTATTTCACTCCATCAATTTCCATATTTTGATTAAAAAAATCCCTCGAATTAATTTATAATATATCAATTTAAAAAAATTAAGTTTAATAAATCATGGTGGTATATACAAATAAAAGTAACAATACAACTAAGCTGACAGTAACTATAACGTGACACATCAAATTTATATAGGGGACTTTTTATTAATGAAAATATTCTAATACAATTGTTAATTTATTCTTTCAGTATTTTAATATTTTAATATTGTGTTACAACAAATTACTAAAAAAAAAAAATATTCGTGTTTCAAAACAATTTTTATTTAATATTATTAAATTAATCATTAAAAAAATTTAATCTATTTTTATTTTATATAAAATTTATAAGAGTATAAACAAAATTTTTTTAAAAATAATTTACTCGATTAAAGTAATTTTGTAGCCAAAGTAAATTAAATATACTACTGATAATTAACAATTATTTATTTATTAAACAAAAAAAAAAAATTTTTTTTAAACTTAAATTTATTTTACATTTAAAAAAACTATTAACCTTTCCGCAAAAAAAAAATTCTATAAACTTAAGCATAAAAAAATTAATTACCAGTAATAAAAAGATCTTAGAACAAATTCCAGTGATTACAATTCACGTGTCACGTAATAATCCTAAGTACGGATCGATTGACTACTCATGACTCAAGACAAAAAAGTAAGGCTTTTATTTTATTGTATAAATATATATTATATTGTACATCGTATATGTTAATACAAACACGAAATTGATGAAGAACCTTTTATGACTGCAGTCTTTTTTATTGCAGATTATCATCCTCGGCCTCGACCTATTGTTTTTCTAAATTTAAAACCATCGACATCTTTAATTGTTTTATTCTACACCAAAGTTTTTTAAATTTCTATAAATTATCAACTTTTTTAATCCGCAAAACAAAATTATGCAACGTTGTGCAAAATTTGCATCCTTCTTCCCGAGTGTCTACAGACCTCACCCTTCTAGCCATTCACCCGCATCCGGTACAATGCCCTTACACTAGTGCATATCTTTCGCGAGTTCGTAACCCTTCAGACCAGGGTCAGGTTGAACTCTATCTTGATATCTTTTAGTCCGAAAATAAAATATTGTTTATTTTTCTAATTTATTTATAAAAAAATTATTGAAGTCTCTTTTTGAATCCGAAAACAAGACAGAAAAAACAATTACTAAACAGCTACGAAAAAAGAAATAATTAACAAAAAAAAGTTACAAATTCTTTACAATTAATAGTTTAATTTAAATATTTAGTTTAATTATGAAAATTAAGTTAGCCGACATTTAAAAATTTTTATAATTTTTTTTTATTGGAAAATTATTACAAAAAAATAAAAAAAAAAAAATTGCACGTCTAAAAAACTTCAAAAACTGTAAGTGCAATTTTTTAAAAAATTTTTTTGTTCTAATTTGATTATTAAAAAAAAAAATCAAAAAATTTAGAACATCGGCTAACTTTAATGACATACTTAATTATTAAAAAAAATAATCAACAATTTAACATTACCTTAATAATTAACTAATTTTAATTTCGAGAAATCACGTCACATAAAATTGATCACTGGAGCACAAAAATTATAACGTTTAACACTTATTTGTTTGTTTATTTTTTAAATTAATGTTTTAATTATAATGATAAATTATTGACCGATTTGAAAATAATTTATCAACTACATATTCTATATTGAAAATTTTTACATAAAACAAGTAAAGATAAAATGCAAATAATTTAACTAATCACCTATTAACTATCAGGTAAATTTTTACATATTCATATCACACGCGTCCTTCGACGGAGGCGTCCCGACGTCGAGTGTCGCTCCCATCGCACTCATTTACCTGGACTTTGGTGGTGTACCCGCGACTTGTAGGCGTCGGCGTGGACTCACTACGTGTCAGTGAACTATAATGTATGTTCGTCCAGATAACGCAGGATCGCCAAGTCTTAAGTACGAAGAACTTAGAAACTGTATTCTGATGTTTAACCAGAGATATCCATCGCGTTGAAAAGCATCAATGAGGTGGAAGATCTGGTATCATATTTGATAGGATCCTATCGAGTGCAACTCCCTGCCGTGAACTTGTTGCATGTAGAACCACTGTTGTATATAGTAGAACTACTTTGTACTATTTCGTTGCCTAGAAAGTAAATCTGTGATCTTTATTTCTACTCTTCTGCGCTGTTTTACTCGGAGCTGGGGTTGTTGCGATTGGTTGTTGTCCTTAGGGGACGGACTTTGTTTCGCCGCAGTGGATCACTTCCGGGATGCCTAGAAAAGAAAAAAAAAACCAATGATGAATTCATATAATTTTTTTGAGGGAAATGAAGTTAGCTGACATTTCAAAATTTTTAGAAATTTTTTATCGAAAAAATTTCAATTAAACAATTAAAAAAAAAAGTATCACATGTTAAAAACTTGAAAAAATATAAGTGCAATTTTTTATAAATATCTTTTACCTAGGTTGTAATTTAATTAAAAAAAAAAAAA